CCTGAAAGTCCAATGGGAACTATTGAGACAGGCCCATGATGAGAGGACGCTCCCGAAGTAAGAAGTAAGTCGATTTCAGACCTCATCGGAAGAATATAATATATTCTTGCTTCTTCCAATGAGCCTCAATCTATTTCTCCAATCAGTACTCCTCAATTTGATGGCGATTATATAGATTGGCCCCGGTTTGAACTAATTTGTGTAATTAGTAAATAATAAACCATTCTCAGCCAGTCAGAAGCTGCGTATATAACCATTCTCAGCCAGTCAGAAGCTGCGTATTCTGCAAGGAACATTTTGATAGACTTCTCACAAGGCTGATACGACGACACCTGGCAACGACTAAAAACGAGGTACCAAAATGGCAAGTTATTAGTGTTTGCCGCAATAGGAGAAATCCTCGGTTATCGTGTCTCCAAAACAGCTACAAATTGCAGTACGGACGAGGGTGCTTAAGCACCCTCAACAACCTCGATATCAACACAAAATCATGGGATCCAATCTTTTGTTTTTTATTAGAAGAAAGGTAGACCAACAGACCCTACTGGAAAATTCAACGGACTCAGCAACGGAAATCGAAGGGGGTGTACTGACGTTGCATGCTTGAGACGATAGACGCAAAACCTACAACAGTCCGAAATCAATAAGTGCACAACGAAAAAAACTGTCATCGGCGTGAAGCCGGTTTCAGGTTTTCATACGATTCGCAGCTCAATCCAGCTTCACAGGATCGAAAACCCAAGTTGGGAATCATGGCTTATCCAGCTTCATCAGAACACACAGCGTCATCTAGCTTCACAAGATACACAGCTTTTTCAATCTTCACAGGATCGATCACCCAAGTTGGGAACCAGAACTTATCCTACTTCACAGGATACCAAGCATCGTCTTTATCAGGCTTCACAGGCTCATTTCCCAAACACGAATTTAAAATTTCACACATTATGTCAACGTCATTCATAGAGGAAACCAGTCACACAAGAATCAATTTAAACAATCGACAATTAGAGCTAAAAGTACAAATCATAAAGAATTATGGCAAGGATTCTGGCGATCGACGCCACCGAGACGTCTATTAATTCGGTAAGATAAGCCAGTTGAACGATCTCTGGAAGCAATTTTGTGATATAGATGAAGAAGTCCAGTCAGCTGCATTACCCAATGGAGATGAGTATGCCTCAAGACTAACAGCTGGTAGAAAAATATCAGTAAGACAAGACAACATAGCGTCAGCAAGCGGCCCTTTAAAGGTTCCTCGTCGAATCCATAACAACTCAAAGGACCCGTTAGTCAAGCAAGTCAAGAGACGGCATAATCGATCGACATGGTTATTCGACAATTACGTAGACGATGCAATGAATTAGAATCATCTCTAATTCTGGCTTCAAATGCGCCAACTATTACCCCAGCATCACAACGACACCTGAAAGTCCAATGGGAACTATTGAGACAGGCCCATGATGAGAGGACGCTCCCGAAGTAAGAAGTAAGTCGATTTCAGACCTCATCGGAAGAATATAATATATTCTTGCTTCTTCCAATGAGCCTCAATCTATTTCTCCAATCAGTACTCCTCAATTTGATGGCGATTATATAGATTGGCCCCGGTTTGAACTAATTTGTGTAATTAGTAAATAATAAACCATTCTCAGCCAGTCAGAAGCTGCGTATATAACCATTCTCAGCCAGTCAGAAGCTGCGTATTCTGCAAGGAACATTTTGATAGACTTCTCACAAGGCTGATACGACGACACCTGGCAACGACTAAAAACGAGGTACCAAAATGGCAAGTTATTAGTGTTTGCCGCAATAGGAGAAATCCTCGGTTATCGTGTCTCCAAAACAGCTACAAATTGCAGTACGGACGAGGGTGCTTAAGCACCCTCAACAACCTCGATATCAACACAAAATCATGGGATCCAATCTTTTGTTTTTTATTAGAAGAAAGGTAGACCAACAGACCCTACTGGAAAATTCAACGGACTCAGCAACGGAAATCGAAGGGGGTGTACTGACGTTGCATGCTTGAGACGATAGACGCAAAACCTACAACAGTCCGAAATCAATAAGTGCACAACGAAAAAAACTGTCATCGGCGTGAAGCCGGTTTCAGGAAATGGATCCCAAATGAACAAATTGCTTGTCTACAGCTCATAATGTTGAAAGCTGTGGATTACTGGCCACTTGTCGAGTCTCCCATCAACGGCATCATTTAATGTTAAATAAAGGACCATCAAGCAATCCAGTGTGCGGCATAGGAACCACCACAGTCTACGACAATCCCAGAGGATATGTTCGGTTAGGGGTTGAGGTATATTCTCGTGTAATACCCGGTGAACTTCTTGAAATAAGACCTAATAAACCTTTGGCACAAGGGACAAGGCTTGGTTATATAGTCACAGGGTTTCTTAATAAAGAAATTTCATCTGATACGGAAATCAACCCTATTTTGGTAGAAGTCGCAGATGATCTTGCAGGACCGAACGCTGCTGATGAGCCAACGAAAGATATAAATCTATTGAATAAAAATCAATTTCATATAGAAGATAGCAAACGGCAGAATGAGATTTCACTCGATGAAGAAAGGATTAAGTTAACGAACTTAGCATTGATGGATAACAAAATAAAGGAGCCTGAAGATAATAGTTCATTGCAGCTGACTGAACTTTATACTACAAGAGTAAAACCAATTAATACAGAACCGACTTCTCACAAACTTAAAACCTACAAGAAGCCTGATTTTTGTTCAACATTTCTTAATTTAACCAAGAAATATCTTGACGTGCCAAATGATCAAGTTCTACGAGGGCACAATTTCAGTCCCCACGGGACATGAAACTCAATGATTTGTTAGGTGCTTTCTATACAATTCGGCCAAGGGCTGACCGACATCACGCCTTAATTGAAGGTACCCCTCAATGGGGGGAGAATGTTCGTACCCAAGGGTGCTCAACATGACCAGCACCCGTGTAGTACTTCCAAGTAGTATATACGCATTTATCAAATGATGAATAAATCAGTTATCAACGCATCTCATAACCCCGCGGTTCAGCTTTCTACCTTTGGGAATAGGGCTCGTAGTTCACTATCTCCACTAGCAGCTAACCTAATTTAGCTCAACCTCAGCGCAGTTCCGCATCGCCTGAGGTCCGGCATCGCCATTGCCGCGACGCGATCGTCCTGCCAGCAAAGCGTCCCCGTGCCAGCGATAAGTGCTCATTACCCCTTGTCCCGCGGTGTAACCCAGAAGTGTCTACTTCGGTTAGGCACAAACAGAAACTGATTCATCAGAACGAAGATCAACCACAAGTAATGGTTCTTTGCAGTTTGCTGAAAAACAAACTGCAAGATAATTAACGAGAAAAATTCTGATTATCTCCACTACAGGATTTGTGAAGTTTTGATGACATTTTTAAATTTAACCAAGACACATCTAAGCGTTGTTGCAGGAATTCTACATACCATAAACATGCCATATGAATACTTTCTAATAGGGGACAATTTCAGTCTCCACGGCAATGCCGTATCTGACCGACAGATACGGCATTGCCGTGGAGACTGAAATTGTCCTCGTTCTGCAGTGTCAGCCGAGCCCCAGCGCAAACTGTTAGCATAATCGAAATTCACTGACCTACTCTACAATACAACTCATTTCACTATTGCTTACACTAAACTTCCGTGTTATCCAAGTGGTATGTAAACAGGTATATATTCAAGAATAAATCAGTTCTCAACGCAACTAACCTCCGTTAGCTCAACCTCAGCGCTTCCCGCATCGCCTGTGGTCCGCCATCGCAGTAACCATCGACGTGTCGCGATCATCGTTCTGCCATCAAAGCGTCCCCTTGTCCCACGGCGTGACTAAGCAGTGTATACTTCGGTTGGACACAAACAGTACAAAAATTCCTACCGTTGCGTAAGGTGGAAGATAGTCTCTTAATATAGCTACTTAATGTTCTGTTCTGTCATATTCGATTATATGTATTTTCCTGAAAAAAAACTTACAGTGACTGATGTATTGTACACCTTCCGCTTGTTAATAACAGTTGTTTAAACTCACTGTTTTGCATTTTCAAAACTACTTTAAGCGGAATGCTGTGTGCCTTGATCTAGGTTTGACTGTTGTGTTTTTTCCAAATTACTGTTTGTTATATTAGTTATCTTTGTTCGATATAATGCATCGGCTAAAACATTTCTTGTCCAGGGCTTATATATTTTTTTTTGTTTAAAACTTTCTATGAATGAATACCATATTTTTATTTCTACATTTGAATTTTTATTCGAAATTATGATTGATAAAGATTGATTGTCCGTTTGCATAACTAAGCCAACTATTTTATATAAATAAAGCCCATACTATGGCTTTTTGACATTAGGGTTATTGGTTTCTTGTCTTGTGATAATACCGCCACGGTAGTTTGGCCTGATGAGTCTGCTGTTGTGGTATTGCACTTTTTGGCATTTATCAAGTTTGAGCTAAGAGAGGATGATATTCATCTTTAACTTGGTTTGGGAAACGACTACAAATTTCTCGCATATTTCGCAAATGTTATATGATCAAAATAGCAAACGGCAGAATGAGATTTCACTCGATGAAGAAAGGATTAAGTTAACGAACTTAGCATTGATGGATAACAAAATAAAGGAGCCTGAAGATAATAGTTCATTGCAGCTGACTGAACTTTATACTACAAGAGTAAAACCAATTAATACAGAACCGACTTCTCACAAACTTAAAACCTACAAGAAGCCTGATTTTTGTTCAACATTTCTTAATTTAACCAAGAAATATCTAAGATTTGTTGCAGAAGGTCCACATACCATAGACGTGCCAAATGATCAAGTTCTACGAGGGCACAATTTCAGTCCCCACGGGACATGAAACTCAATGATTTGTTAGGTGCTTTCTATACAATTCGGCCAAGGGCTGACCGACATCACGCCTTAATTGAAGGTACCCCTCAATGGGGGGAGAATGTTCGTACCCAAGGGTGCTCAACATGACCAGCACCCGTGTAGTACTTCCAAGTAGTATATACGCATTTATCAAATGATGAATAAATCAGTTATCAACGCATCTCATAACCCTGCGGTTCAGCTTTCTACCTTTGGGAATAGGGCTCGTAGTTCACTATCTCCACTAGCAGCTAACCTAATTTAGCTCAACCTCAGCGCAGTTCCGCATCGCCTGAGGTCCGGCATCGCCATTGCCGCGACGCGATCGTCCTGCCAGCAAAGCGTCCCCGTGCCAGCGATAAGTGCTCATTACCCCTTGTCCCGCGGTGTAACCCAGAAGTGTCTACTTCGGTTAGGCACAAACAGAAACTGATTCATCAGAACGAAGATCAACCACAAGTAATGGTTCTTTGCAGTTTGCTGAAAAACAAACTGCAAGATAATTAACGAGAAAAATTCTGATTATCTCCACTACAGGATTTGTGAAGTTTTGATGACATTTTTAAATTTAACCAAGACACATCTAAGCGTTGTTGCAGGAATTCTACATACCATAAACATGCCATATGAATACTTTCTAATAGGGGACAATTTCAGTCTCCACGGCAATGCCGTATCTGTCGGTCAGCTCTGACCGACAGATACGGCATTGCCGTGGAGACTGAAATTGTCCTCGTTCTGCAGTGTCAGCCGAGCCCCAGCGCAAACTGTTAGCATAATCGAAATTCACTGACCTACTCTACAATACAACTCATTTCACTATTGCTTACACTAAACTTCCGTGTTATCCAAGTGGTATGTAAACAGGTATATATTCAAGAATAAATCAGTTCTCAACGCAACTAACCTCCGTTAGCTCAACCTCAGCGCTTCCCGCATCGCCTGTGGTCCGCCATCGCAGTAACCATCGACGTGTCGCGATCATCGTTCTGCCATCAAAGCGTCCCCTTGTCCCACGGCGTGACTAAGCAGTGTATACTTCGGTTGGACACAAACAGTACAAAAATTCCTACCGTTGCGTAAGGTGGAAGATAGTCTCTTAATATAGCTACTTAATGTTCTGTTCTGTCATATTCGATTATATGTATTTTCCTGAAAAAAAACTTACAGTGACTGATGTATTGTACACCTTCCGCTTGTTAATAACAGTTGTTTAAACTCACTGTTTTGCATTTTCAAAACTACTTTAAGCGGAATGCTGTGTGCCTTGATCTAGGTTTGACTGTTGTGTTTTTTCCAAATTACTGTTTGTTATATTAGTTATCTTTGTTCGATATAATGCATCGGCTAAAACATTTCTTGTCCAGGGCTTATATATTTTTTTTTGTTTAAAACTTTCTATGAATGAATACCATATTTTTATTTCTACATTTGAATTTTTATTCGAAATTATGATTGATAAAGATTGATTGTCCGTTTGCATAACTAAGCCAACTATTTTATATAAATAAAGCCCGTACTATGGCTTTTTGACATTAGGGTTATTGGTTTCTTGTCTTGTGATAATACCGCCACGGTAGTTTGGCCTGATGAGTCTGCTGTTGTGGTATTGCACTTTTTGGCATTTATCAAGTTTGAGCTAAGAGAGGATGATATTCATCTTTAACTTGGTTTGGGAAACGACTACAAATTTCTCGCATATTTCGCAAATGTTATATGATCAAAATTCCTGAAAAAAAATTCCATTTTTAAATTTAAATACAAAAAAAGGACTTCGCGTTAAAATAATTTATTTTTTTATATAAATTTAAAACTACATGGACAAACCAACAAGAACAAAAATATTCAAACTCATAATACAATGGCTGCAATGGCTTTTAGAGTACTATTTTCAGTTCTATAAATTCACACTTACAAGTAATCGTTATAGATGGATTATATTTGTTTCTACTCCTCACTAATGATTATTGCCTGAGTTTTATTGTAAATATAATAGAAACATTTTTAAAACTCACACCCAAGTCTAACTTACCTAAGTCGATGGCATTGATTATAGCGTTCCCTCTTGTTATTCCCTTGCAGAGGTTATAATGATTTCAGTCAGATGTTTGCACCGCAGTGAAGGGGACGTTTCCGACCCCATAAAGCATATATATTCTTGATCAGCATCACTGGACGAGTCGATCTAGCCTTGTCCGTCTGCCCGTCCGTCTGTCTGTTTCTACGCAAACTAGTCGCTCAACAAAAGTCTTAATTCGGATTGGACAACTATGTCCTATAGCTCCCATAAGAAAGATCCAAAAAATATTTAAAAAAATTATAATATAAAATAAGTATTTTTGACATATTAACTTAAACTCTTGGAAGTATCATTCTTTTAATACTTCAGAACTTCGAATACCATTTTTAAAAAATCTGACGATTTTATCATATAGCTGCCATAGGAACTGTCTAATAATTAATGTAAAAATAATAATACAAGGACCGTTATATAGCGTTCTGCAGGGATAGAGAAACTTCGGCTTGCCGAAGTTAGCTTCCTATCTTGTATATTATTATTTCTGTAAAACAAACTTACATTCCGCAGGGAAAGAAAGGTATCAAAGCTGGATCCAAGACGCGTGCCGCAACGTTATCCACATTCTGGAAGATGTCAAGTCCTGCCGCCCTCCCATAGACCACGTCTGCGAACTGCTTCCCCGGTTACAGCCCCGTTACTATTCCATCTCCTCATCTGCTAAAGTACATCCCACAGATGTGCATATTACAGCCGTCCTAGTAGAATATAAGAGTCCAACAGGACGTACCAATATGGGAGTGGCCACTACTTATTTGAGGAATAAGCAACCCCAGAGCGGCGAGAAAGTAAAGGTGCCAATATTTATTCGCAAGTCGCAGTTCCGTCTACCTACGAAGCCTGAGACGCCTATCATAATGGTGGGACCGGGAACGGGTTTGGCCCCCTTTCGCGGTTTCATTCAGGAACGACAGCACCTGCGCGATGAGGGCAAGAGCGTGGGCGAGTCGATCCTTTACTTTGGCTGTCGTAAGCGCAGCGAGGACTACATCTACGAAGCCGAGTTGGAGGTGTGGGTTAAGAAGGGTACACTTAACTTGAGGGCCGCCCTTTCACGTGACCAGTCAAAGAAGGTTTATGTACAGCACCTGCTTGAACAGGATGCAGATTTAATATGGAACGTAATTGGCGAGAGCAAAGGGCACTTCTACATATGCGGGTAGGTTATTTTAAGGCAGAGATGGATCCATAAAGTACATTATTATTTTATCTTCCTATACAGTGATGCGAAGAACATGGCGGTGGACGTAAGAAACATTTTAATGAAGATTCTGTCCACTAAAGGAAACATGAGCGAGGTTGACGCCGTGCAGTATATCAAGAAGATGGAGGCTCAGAAGCGCTACTCGGCCGATGTCTGGAGCTAATCTGATCCAAAGGCCAATCGAAACTCGTAGTTTTCTAATTCATTATAAAATGTAAGCGTAATTTTTGGTTTGGGAACTTCTTTCTGCAGTTCAACAAACTAATGAGGAATGATTAAATATACATATTTTAAATGACTCTGTTTAGAGGGACAAACTAAGACCGAATCTAAGAAACGAAATGAGCAAAGTAACAAGTTATCGATTTAAGTAGCTTTGTACAAGTGCAGATTAGATTGAGTCCATCTTAAGAGCATTTTAGTTTGTATCCTTTTGGTGAATGCAACACAAAAACAACATGTGCAATTTTAAAAATGACACTTTTATAAATAAAAAATATCATTGAAGTTTCTTATGGTTGGATAACCCACAAAGCGAAGTTTGATCAATAACTATCTACAAAATGTTAATCAATAGGCGAAATAATATTGGACTAGACACTGCATTGTTTGGGTCATACATTAAAGAATTCTTTTGAGGCTTTGAAAGAAACAAATATATTTGACATTTACTGGGATTTGTTTGGATAAGAAGGCATGGCCTCTTTAGCATTTGAACGTTAACACTAAACTTTATAACTCAAACAAGGAAGAACGCTATAGTCGAGTACATCGACTATCAGATACCCGTTACTCAGCTAAAGGGACCAAAGGGAAATGGAGATATGCAAGCAGCAAAGCGAGATTAAAATGCGCCACCTACCGGCGGTAGAGATTTTAGCGTAATGGGCGTTAAAGTGGGCGTGGCAAATTTTCATCAATCGATAGGTATTGACGAGACCAATACGTTTCAGCTAAAATTTTGTATCTAGCATAAAAATTGTGGGCGTCACAGGTTTGGGCGGCTTGTGGGCGTTAAAGAGGGCGTGGCAATACTTCTATATACAAACTTCTGTTTCATCACCAACAGGCTCCGCGGTATAGCTAAGAATACAAAAAAACCGATGTCTGGCGACATTTTCAATTATGTCGCTTATATTACCCCAGTTTACAAAATAAAATTGGTGAAAAACGCCTTCAAGGAAATCTTTGTTTTCCGGTAAGGTACATCTCCCTGATTAAGAAAAGGGCACTTAACATTTTTTTAAAGTGTAAAAAACGTTGTTTGAACTTTTTTATTTTCTAACTCGAGTTCTGATAAACCGAATAATCGAATCAAAGCCTTTTTTACAGGCAATAGAATGCCCTTTAACTTTCATATACTCATCATTGAGTTCCATTCATTAGTTTCGAAGCTACACTTCGTCAAAGTTGAAAAAGTTGGAAAATATGCAAGAACTCAGGCATAAATGGCTTCTATAAAAATACACGTCTAAAAACCGAAATTAGTTTTATGTTGTTTTCTTGAAGGCTTAACCTTAACGGAGAATATGCGCCATTAATCCGTTGGTAAGTCGATATTTTACAGATTTTTAAACGTACGAGTATATACCCAAGTTCAGTATTCGGGAGCAGCGGCCGTTAAACATTATTTTAAATTTTCAGTGTTGGGAAACGTAACCATTTTGTGCAAGTTGTTATGTATATCGTCATATTCCTTGAAATTAGTGCTGGGCAAGCTAAAAAGTATGCGACTGCAGTTACGAGAAAATCATTTTCATATATTTTTAGCAAGGAAATATAAAGTTAACTGACGTTATGCATAACAACTTACACCAAATTTTTACGTTCCCCAACACTCAAAATTTAAAATAATGTTTAACGGCCGCTGCTCCCGGTTACTGAACTTGGATATATACGTTAAAAAGTCTGTTAAAAATCGATTTACCAACGGATTGTCGTGATTAAAAATTAAAAACAAGGAAGAACGCTATAGTCGAGTACCTCGACTATCAGATACCCGTTACTCAGCTAAATAGAGATATGTAAGCAGCAAAGCGAGATTAAAATGCGCCACCTACCGGCGGTATACAGATTTAAGCGTTATTAGAGTGGGCGTGGCAAATTTTTTTTTTGATCAATCGATAGGTATTGACGAGACCAATACATTTCAGTTAAAATTTTTTATCTTGGATAAAAATTGTGGGCGTCACAGTAGGCGTGGCAAACTTTTTTTAGGTCAATCGATTGGTATTGATAAGAACAATACATTTCAGTTAAAATTTTCATTCTAGCATCAAATCTGTAGGAGCCTCAGTTTTGGGCGGTTTGTGGGCGTTAGAGTGGGCGAGGCACTCTGCTGAAACAAGCTTGCGCTGCGTAAAAAGCTCAGAAATCTCAGCGTTCATCCGGACAGACGGACATGGCTACATCGACTCGGCTAGTGATCCTGATCAAGAATATATATACTTTGTGGGGTCGGAAACGCTTCCTTCTGCCTGTTACATACTTTCCGACGAATCTAGTATACCCTTTTACTCTACGAGTAACGGGTATAATGAGTCTTTGATGACCGAATTCAGTTTATCAGAACTCAAGTTAGAAAATAAAAAAGTGCCAAAAACGTTTTTAACACTTTAAAAAAAGTTGGTACCATAGAAATAATTTTAAGTGCCTTTTCTTAATCAGAAAGATGTACCTTACCGAAAAACAAAGGTTTCCTTGAAGGCGTATTTCATAAATTTTTTTTTATTAACTGGTGTTATTGGACTTTTCTTAAATATTTTTGTTGGAACAGAATCTCAGTACATGACGGCATTGCAAAATATAGTCCCCATCTTGGAATCCCCATGTCTTTGGAATCATCTGTTATTCAATTAATTTTACAATTTTTCCTATTACTTGGCTATCAATCACGGAAACGACTTGCACACTAGGAACTGTTGCTAATATAATTGATCAATTGCATTGAGTTCAAAAGGGGTGTGTTGGCCGTACTTTCTTCATTTCGGCCTCTTCAGAGATCCACCAACCCATTTTTAATTTTTTTTTTTTCGATATAATATAAATAAAAACAAGGAAGAACGCTATAGTCGAGTACCTCGACTATCAGATACCCGTTACTCAGCTAAAGGAACGAAAGGGAAAGCAGCAAAGCGAGGTTAAAATGCGCCACCTACCGGCGGTAGACAGATTTAAGCGATATGGGCGTTAGAGTGGGCGTGGCAAACTTTTTTTTGATCAATCGATAGGTATTGACGAGGCCAATACATTTCAGTTAAAATTTGTTATCTAGCATGACAATTGTGGGCGTCACAGGTTTGGGCGGTTCGGGCGGTTTGTGGGCGTTAAAGAGGGCGTGGCAAACTTTTTTTTGGGTCAATCTATAGGTATTGATGAGAACAATACATTTCAGTTAAAATTTTTATTCTAGCATCAAAAATGTAGGAGCCACAGTTTTGGGCGGTTAGTGGGCGTTAGAGTGGGCGTGGCACTTCGTTGAAACAAACTTGCGCTGCGTAAGAAGCTCAGGAATCTGCACGCCAAATCTAAATAGCCTAGCTCTTATAGTCTCCGAGATTTCAGCGTTCATCCGGACGGACAGAGAGACGGACAGACGGTCAGACGGACAGACGGACATGGCTAGATCGACTCGGCTAGTGATCCTGATCAAGAATGTATATACTTTATGGGGTCGGAAACGCTTCCTTCTGCCTGTTACATACTTTCCGACGAATCTAGTATACCCTTTTACTCTACGAGTAACGGGTATAATAATTAAAATCAAGTAAGAACGCTATAATCGAGTACCTCGACTATCAGATACCCGTTACTTAGCTAATGGGACCAAAGGGAGATGGAGATATGCAAGCAGCAAAGCGAGATTGAAATGCGCTACCTTTCCACGATCTCTATATTTGGTTACGTGGGCGGCAGACAGATTTTAGCGTTATGGACGTTAGAGTGGGCGTGGCAAGATTTTGGAAAAGTGGCTCATCAAAAACCGACGTGCGACCACGTTGAAACTCGTTAAATCAATTTTTGACGGTCGCCATCGAAGGAGAAGAGTCACCGTACACAGCATCCAAGCGCTCTTTGATTTCGCTGCGCGATTTCCCTTCCAAAAACAAGAATCGAATCACAGACCGATATTGCTCTTTCTCCATTTTTCTAAAATCCGCGGACACGTCCGATTCTACACGAAGTCAAAACAAAACTACGAGTCCGATTCGGCTGAAACTTCGACAGTAGCCGTCTACGAGAATGTACTACACGATAGTAAATTTTTCTTGCGATAGTGACGCCATCGGGCGGTGAGGCTAAGTACTTATCGGTCTGCGCTCGTATATACCTTATGGTGTCGGAAACCCTTACTTCTACCTGTTACATCCCTTCCAACGAATCTAGTATACCCCTTTACTGTACGAGTAACGGGTACAATTATTATGGGATTATGTGCAGACGACTTATATAATATGTATATATGTGGATGAGGCTGGTTAATTAAAAAATGCACATTTCTCAGTCTACATCATCGCAAACGACAAGTTACAATAGATTTACTGGGATTTATTTTACACCAAAAGTTGTGGGTTAGTATGAATGTGAATAATGATCTTAATTAGCGCACACCGCGTAAACGCGTTGCAAGTGCTACAACATAATCAGGGGTAAACTAACTTCTTTTTCCGCTCTTCTCCCGATGGAGTAACATATTTAGCTCTTTGAGCCGTTCTTGTAACTGCCCCTCGATGATCCGGGCCTGCTCCTTTATGAGACGGACTCGTTGTATACGCCCTGGCCTGGGCCTGACGTACCCACCACTGAGATAGTATAGGCATTAAACGAAACAGGCTTTGAAAGAAAAAGGCTTTTTCGCCAAAAATATTATAAATATAATCAACAGAAATAAAAACCGTATCAACTCGTTTAGGTCGAATCGGAGCCAGAGATCAGAGCACTAAAAAAAACAATACAACCGATAGAATGAACACGTGCAAGCTCAAACCACACCTGACCTTTTTCCTTTTTGGAAAACAGCCAGATCATCATTTGGCCCCCTTAACACAAATGTGGAATGACATACGCCGGAGCCCTGAAAACACGACTAATAAATCCGAAGTTCATCCCGTAAGCTCGATTGCGAACCGAATATAATATCCTTTCAGCAAGCAATAAGACAAATACCAAACATTATCGAAGCAGTGTAGTTAACCTTACAACAAAGTATGATAGACTTTATGTTCTTCGTGAAAACAACAATGCAAAACTTTATGCAAAATCAAAACATTCTTATAAAGATGCCCGCATCCCAACAATCAAAACAATCGTTGTCTTGCCTTCGAATATTAATGTGGAATGCCAACGGCAATTCACGGAAAAAACTTGAAAAAACTTAATTTTTCATTAAAAACCACGCAGACGTAATGCTGTTGGCAGAAACGCATCTTACAAGTAAATACAACTTCCAAGTAAGAGGATACACTTCGAATTGCTTAGATCATCCGGATGGTAAAGTGCACGGTGGTACCGAAAT